ATATATATATATATATATATATATATACACACATAGACACACACACACACATATGAAATGGTGTGTCCTCTGGTTAGTATGGTAGGAAAAATAGTATAGGATTAGCATTTTCTTTTGACTGTAAAATGTAATGTAGGAACTGTTAGGCTAAAGGTAGATAATGCATTTCCCTAAAAGTCAAATACATTTGAATGCCTAATAAGTTGAGCAAAACACAGAGGTCAGTGCTGCTGTATTGGAAAAAAAAATGTAATTTAGATTCTTCATTTGCAATATATGTTCAGCAATGGATGTAAAAACATTTACAAATTGCTGAAAGTATAAGTTGACTAAGTATTTACATTAGTGAATTTGCTTTATTAAATATATATATGTCTTATGCAGTGCTCATTTAGTTGGAAGAAAGTTTGTAATATTAGTTGACAAATGTTTAGCAGAAATAAAGCGTGAAAGGGAATTTGGGAAAAAATAGAAAATTGTGGTACCTGCTGTAGTATTGGTACTTCAAGATTTACATTAGCGATGAGGTGGCAGTTGATCGAAACAGTGCGTACAATGTCATTGTTGCAGTAGTTTGCTGATGCTGCTATAGCTTGTTATTATCTTCATGGTAAGAAGTTTAGTAAGCACATTCATGTTTGCTCCAAATTGAAAACGGCTAAAGTACAATGGAAGACAAAGTATGTGCTTTAGGATATATGTATGTTTATTTTGTCAAAATTAGGAAGAAGAAGAAGTTAAAAGCTGCAATGAAAATAGGAGAATGTATGGTCTAATTGACTGTGTTCTTTAAATATATATATGAACTCTCTCTTTTAACTGATGACATATGAAATACAGAAGAGTAGAGAAAGGTAGTGTTTACAATGAACATGTGTGCTATAGTCTTAAATTATAAGCAAAGTAAAAACTTCAAATATATAATATGACACTGTGCAAAAACTAAATGTAAAATTAGATATTATATACCTTTGAGTAAAGAATATTTTCAGTGTCTTTGCCTTTTGCTTTACTATATTCAAAAGTTGAATGATAGTTCTTCTAGCTTTCTCCTATAGTAAGGGAAATTAAAGAATGTGTATTTCACATTATTATGGACTTTAAATGTGAATGATTTGAGCTGATATGATTATCGGCAGAATTATGTATACAAACCATGTCTCATCTGGTTAGTATGGTAGCAAAAATAGTATAGGATTACCATTTTGTTTCTACTGTAAAATTGAATGCAGGAACTGTTAGGCTAAAGGTAGATAATGCATTTCGCTAAAAGTAGAATACATGTGAATGCGTAATAAGTTGACAAGCACACAGAGATTACTACTGCGTTTGCTTTTTCCTTTACTACATGCGAAAGTTCAATGATACTCCTTGTAGTTTTCTCCTATAGTAAGGGAAATTCATTAATGTGTATTTCACATTATTAGGGAGCTGATGGTTTATTCTGAAGGAACAGAGTAGATTGCGGTGGAGTTATACTTTGACGGCCAAAGTTAGTCTTTGTAAAGTGCAGAGGAGCAAGATTTTGGGGAAGACCATGTGTTTGAGCAGAGTATTCTAGCTGGCATAGTGCCAGAAGAGCTACCCTTTTTTCAGTTGGTATTTTATGGTAAGAAATAGGGTTTTTAGGATTTTTGGCATTGTTTTTGGTAGTAGTTGTTTATTCAGGCAGGATTGCATTCATTTTCCGTTTAGTGTTAGACAGCTGAGGGCAAGTATTTAGCAAAGTTCTTTTATTGAAGGTAATATCTTGGTGTTGAATTAGGGTCAGTCAACACAGAATAACATAGTACAATGTACACTGAAGAATGCAGCAGAACAGTAACAGAGCTTAAAAAAGTATAGAGCAGGAAAATGCAGAAACTTACGTTTGTGAGTGAGAAGTTTGTTCTCTATTTTGGCAGCTGAAGAAGTGTGAGTTTGAAAATCCTACATAAGTTGTAGCAAGTATACAGTGTATTAGTTAAAAGTATGGAAAAGCGAAGATTGAAATGAAGATTGCATTCTTGAGACCATTGTAATTAACTACAAGGTCAAATGACAGCCTACCAAGAGTAGAGCATATATTAAAAGGCACATATGTGGTAAAAGCGCAAATAGCAGCCGTGTGTGAGGGTCAAGCATATATGTGGTTAATACATTGGGTAAAGTTGTTGGATCTTTGGATAATTCCCAAAGTTAACTGTCTCTTTAGTGTAGAGGACCTGGAGAAAGAAGATCGTCTCATTCTTTCAGCGAAACTACTGTACTTTATTCTGCAAATGAAGAAGTTGTTCTTTCCTATTGAATTATCTTTCGTTGACCTATTCAGTACATATTTGTTATGCACATGAGCAATGTAGAAATCAATACTAACTAAGGCAACTAACGAAAAAGTTGACTGACATTTGCGCATTAGTACA